GACAACGGACGTATTCTTTCCTTCAGATGTCCTTTTCTTTCTTTCAATTCTTTATTTATTTCTGTTAATGTTCCCTAAGAATTAAAAAATATATATATATTGTGGTTATGTAAGATTTTATTTCGATGAAAGGAAGCGTAATTTTGTTAGAAAAATATATATACATATTACGTAAAAAAATAAATAATAAAATCACATAACATATACATTTCATCTCGATAAAAAAAAAACAATTTCAAACGTTTCTTATTAACATTTTCAAAAGGATTTTCAGGCTAAGAAAATGTCCTCTCGTTCATCCGGGGTTTTGGAATTTCCGTTGGCTAGCCTTTTAGCCTTTTGCTGTTTATAGACTCATTTCACTTCCCTTGAAGCCATGGGGAAACAAGAAAGAATTATGGAGAGAATGGAATTGTTATTTGTTGTTGGTGTTGTAGACATAGGTCTGTGTGCGGGGAGAGAGAAGGAGAGAGGAAGGGAGGGAGGGAGAGACACAGATAGACAAACAGACAGACAGACAGAGAGTGTGGGGTTTGGCGGGGGATAGAGAGAGAGGCAGGAAGGGGGAGACGGAGAGAGAGAAAGAGAGCAAGAGAGAGGGACGGGAGGAAGTGAACGAGAGAGAGAGACAGACAGACAGACAGACAGAGACAGACAGACAGACAGGTAGACAGAGAGTGAGAGAGAGAGAAGGAGGGGTGAAGGGAGGAGTCAGGGAGGAGAGGAGAGAGGGAGGAAGGGAGGAGGGAAGGAGGAAGGGAGGGAGTGAGAGAGCGAGAGACATTTTACACGAAAAAAATGTCTCATAAACTACAAATCCAAATCCAGAAACCAAACACTCCACAATAAATGGATGAATAAACAAAACCCGCGCAAAGATTAACGTAGACCAAGATCCGACCTCAGAAAACCTCAGAGGCGAACTTCTGAAAAAAAATCCACATGCTTGCTTCCCCGACAGTCTCCCGCCAGCAGTCGAGAGGGGAGGTTGTGTCCGCTCCGACACGCGGCCCTCGATCACTGGCGTCTTATAATTTCGTGATTAATCATTATCTTCTCACTCTGTTTATCGTCATCTGTCTCCTATTCCCCTATTTGAAGGATTTAGTGAGGTGGGGAAGTGAGAATTCCCACCGTTTCGAAAGGATGAAACACGTGCATTTCTGAGAATTTCTTGTGTCGAGAAAGAAAAAAAAACATCCCTTTCGAAATCTTTTCTTTTAAATAGACCTACCCATTTGGACATCCCAAATCACCGGAAACAAAAGGGGCACTCAAATACCCTACCCCCCTCCCTCCTGAACAAGGATGTGACATCGCCATCGCAGTAGGATTCAGCCGTTCAGCATCCTTCGCATCTCAAGACAATCCCAAGTAAGAGTCAAGAGCCTGGGGGCAGTTTTTCACCGAGTTGCAAAGCGCTGACTGATAAGGAGTGTGTGCTGAGCGAAGCAAGTCACTCCGGGTGTTGGCACTGTGGGGAGAGTTTTGTGTTTCTCTCTGTTTGTCTGTCTCTCTGTCTCTCTGTCCCTCTCTTTATCTGTCTAGCTATGGGTCTTTCTCGCTTTATTTATCTATTTAGTAATCTGTCTGTTTGATGTATCTAATTCTATATGTGTCTATCTGTCTAGCTATTTGTCGGTCTGTCTAACTTTCTCTCTCTCTCTGTCTCTCTCTCTCTTTCTCTCTCTCTCTCTCTCTCTCTCTCTCTCTCTCTCTCTCTCTCTCTCTCTCTCTCTCTCTCTCTCTCTCTCTCTGTGTGTGTGTGTGTGTGTGTGTGTGTGTGTGTGTGTGTGTGTCTTTCTCTCTCTTTCTTTCTTTATTTCTCTCTCTCACTCCCTCCCTTCCTCACTCCCTACTGCCTTCCTCCCTCCCTCCTCCCTCCCTCCTCTCTCCCTACCTCCTTCCCCCTCACTCCCACCCTCTCTGTGCATATGATCTTAGATAGAAAATAATAATGATAACCTGACTTGCATAATATTACAGTCAATGCATACATGATACACGTGTGAAAAGTGATGTCAAGTGCCCGTAGAGTTTTGAGGAAACGGATGACGAGAAGACAGGTTAACAAATAAAATTATCATTATTGCAAAGTTTCAGCAGTTCGTTGCAGACGTTTTGCAATTGGTAGTTTATAGGATGATACTAGATCTAAGCCTATAAGATTAAAAAATAATTGTATTCATTATTATGATGATTTTCAGTATAGTTAAGCCATCATTACTATTATTATCATTATTGCTGTTGTTATCAATATGATCATTACTGTTATTACCATTATCATTATGATTATTATTATTATTATTATCATTACTATTATTATTATTATTATTATCATTGTTGTTGTTGTTGTTGTTATAATTATCATCATTATCATTATTAATATTATTATTATTGTTATTATTATCATTATTATTATCATTATTATCATTATTATTATTATTATTATTATTATTATTATTATTATTATTACTATTGTTATTATTATCATTATTATTATTATTGTTATCATTATTATTATTATTGTTATCATTATTATTATTATTGTTATCATTATTATTATTATTGTTATTATTATTATTATTATTATCATTAACATCATCATAGTTGTTGTTATTAATATAATCATTACTATTATTCTTATTATCGTCATCATCATTATTATCAGTTGTTTTTTTTAAATAAATATCGTCGTTGTTATTATTACTATTATCATTATTACTATTATCACTTATCATTATTATATATATATTTTTCATAATTACCTTTATTGTTATTGTTATTGTTGTTATTGTCATCATCATTATTACTATTAACATCATTATTGTTGTTATTATTATTGTTATTATTATTATCATCATTATTCTTATTCTTATTATCATCATCATTGTTATCAGTAGTGTTATCATTATCACTAGTATTAACTACTGTCATTATGATTTTTATTATTATCATCACTATTATTGTTATTATTATTATAATTATTGACATTATCATTATCAAAATCATTATCAAAATTATTATTATTATTATTATTATTATTATTATTATTATTATTATTATTATTGCCGTTATTATTATTATCATCATAAGTTATAGTTGCATAATCATTATTATGATTATTATTATTATTACCAATATTATTACTATTATCATTACTATAATTATCAGTATTATATTATCAGCATCATTACTATTATTATCATTATTATCACTAGTAGAAGTAGTAGTAGTATCATTATTATTATCATATTTCTTATTGTTTTCATTATATTATTATTATTATTATTATTATTATTATTATCATTATTATTATCATAACTATTATTATTATTATCATAACTATCATTATTATTATTATTATCATAACTATTATTATTATTATTATCATTATTATTATCATAACTATTATTATTATTATCATAACTATTATTATTATCATCGTCATCAACTTTATCATTATTATTATTATTAAGTAAGTAATTACGTCTTACATTTCCATTAGAAAAGGTAACATTTAATAACTACACGTAATATTATGAGTAATAGCCTGTTTCACTTTTGTCAGAATAAAACTACATATTACGTATTATATCTCCATCATTTTTTTTTTTTTTTTTTATAAATAGTTGCTAGATATGACGTCACTTGTATTATCAAAAGGCATTAATTCAGGTGATGATAATAACATGAAAGATTGTATAATAAAGCAAATATATATATATTTTCTCTCTCTCTCTCTTTCCTTTCTTTTCTTTTAATTTTTTTTCTTACATTTAACTATGGTCCTCATTAGTGGCTTTTGCAACATTTGTGAAAACGTTGAAAGCTCTGTAACAGGATTGCCACCTGCTTTTGCAACCTGCAGTATCCTCAGGGACTGGAGTCTGCAACTGTTACTTTTACTGTGGTTTGTTAATGCATTTGCTTTGCTGTTAGTTAGTTAATATTTACAGTAGTATTAGTATCACTATTATTAGCGTTATTATCAGTCACACACAGTTTGAAATTATTATCGCTTCTGTTAATGGTTTTGTGGTCATCTTTAGTAGTAGCAGTAGTATAGTAGTAGGCAGGAGTAGCATTAGTAGAAGTAGTAGCACAAGCAGTAATAGTAGTAGGAGTAGATAGGGATGGTATCAGTAGAATAGTAGTAGTAGCAGCAGTAGTAGTAGTAGTAGTAGTAGTAGCAGCAGTAGGTAGTACTATTAGTAGAAGTATTATTATTATTATTATTATTATTAATGGTAGTAGTAGTAGTAGCAATATCAGTAGGCAGGAGTAGTATTAATAGAAGTAGTAGTAGTAGCAGTAGTAGTAGTAGTAGTAGTAGTAGCAGCAGTAGGTAGTACTATTAGTAGAAGTATTATTATTATTATTATCATTATTAGTGGTAGTAGTAGTGGTAGCAATAGCAGTAGGCAGGAGTAGTATTAATAGAAGTAATAGTAGTAGCAGGAGCAGAGAGGAGTAGTATTTGTAGTGTAGTAGTATTAGTAGCAGTTGTGGTAGTAGTAGTAGTAGCAGCATTTGAATCACCATTATTAGTAGCATTATCAATAACCTTATCATCATCAACATCATTATCATTGTCGTTACTATTACCACTACTGCTTCTGATGTTAATACCATTACTATTACTACTACAGTAACTACCATCCTTACCATTATTATTATTATTATTGTTACTGCTTTACTTGCTTTTATTATCATCATCGTATTTATAATTACTTATCATTAATATCATTCCTATTATCATTAATAATAATAATAATAATTATCAGTATCATTGTATGATATTACTGTTATTAGTGTTATGATTATCATTATCATTATTATTACCATTACTGTTATTATCATTATCATCACCATCGTCATCATTATCATTATTATTTCTTTATCATATTTTATTATCAATATTATCACATTTATGATTCTCATTGTCATTATTATTGTTATTACTATTATTATTAATATTATTGTTATTGTTATTATCA